CTTTGAGTCTTAGAATCAAAGAATCATGTTGAAATAATTGAGTTGAATCAAACTTCTCAGTGCCAACTCATGTGAGCTTTCTTGAGTAATCCATCCCTAATTAGGCCCACCTGGCTCCCATCACATGGTATGGTATGCCGGTACAGATCGGTGTTCAAGACTTCTGCTCTCTTTTCCACTTGTCCATGCAATTCTTTCTCGACATCTTTCAGTGCCTCATCCGTCTCCTGTCTTCACTATCCAAACAGGTTATTATTACAGCAGAAGACGTCTAAGTAGCTACACTCACAGTTGCTGCGGGCATTTTGGAAAGAGGCTGGGAAGGAGTCCTTCCAGTATTAGAGTTTTCCTTTCAGGGGATTAGAAAGCTTTTCAGTTTGAAGAGTCCATCAATACAAATATATTTCAGGAGTGAACAAGGTTTAATTATTTATTGATTAGTGACTAGCTGACCGTCTGCTGAGAGTAAGGCAATGAAGGGTTGGTAAACAAGGGAGGATTCAGGCAAAAGGAATGAGGAACTCTTAGAGGAAGTGGACACATGATTAAGGAGACCATTACCTCTATTTCAGCTAGTTTTTAGGTTTTCTTTAGTCTGGCTCTGTAAAGGTATAGGTTGTTTCCATTTTATTTCCATTCATCCTCTATGCTTTACAATGTATGTTGTATTTAAGTGTTGAAAGTGAGTAGAGACTTAACTGCTCACTGGGTAGTAATGCTTTGCTTCTGGTATTCCAGAGGGTCTAGCAGAGGCTCCGTAGAGTACCTATTTCTGTCATTTGCTGCAGAACTTAACATTTTTGGTGATCTTTGGTACTAAGTTGATGAAACACAGGGAAATAGGGCTCAGATGCTTTTGGATAAAACCTTAATTTATCTCCTCCCTTCTCTCTGACATTTCATTGATTGACTCAACTAGTCCCATATCGTTGGATGCCTTTTCTGACTCTTACGTCTGCCTCATTCCTTGCATGTGGTCAAGGTATATTTCATTTCCTGTATCTCTCACATCCTTTGTGTCTTATCACCTGGCAGAGCCCTCTTTGATTTTAGGGTCATAATATTCCCAGCTCTTTCTGGTCTCTCTCTTGTTCTCTATGAGTCCCAACAGCCACAACTCCTCAATGCACATTGAAGTTTCTCTTTTCTAATTCTGGAGATTCTGCTCTCTTGAATCTAATGTTCTTGGTTTCTTATTGTTTTGTAGAATAGAGACAAACTCTCTAAATTGGCATATATGATTCTCCCAAATGCATAAAAATCCATACAAGTATTTCTCCATTCTAACCCTACAATAATATATACACTATATCATGGTAGCATAATCATGAGAGATACAACATGAATGGTAAAAAATGAACATTACTTGTGTTTTTGTCAGACTTGATTATTCACTGATATCTTGTAATGCTATATGTATTAATATCTCAGTTGCCTTGATCTAGGATGCCCGAGATCCTTACTTCTTGCTGCTGCTGCTGCTGCTATGTGGCTTCAGTCGTGTCCGACTCTCTGCGACCCCATGGACTGCAGCCTACCAGGCCCCCTCATCCATGGGATTTTCAATCAAGAGTACTGGAGTGGTTTGTCATTGCCTTCTCCATCCTTACTTCATAAGATGATCCTAAATTAATTGACAGATATACTGTTTTCCTATTTTGGCATATCAATATCCCATAACCTTTCAAAACTCCATCATAAAGTCATCCCATTTGCATCACTCTTATGATACACTCAGATGGCTCCTAGCTTTACCTCAATCTACTCTAGCAACGTGTTGGCATCACATCTTATTCTTCTTCACTTTACCCTTGCAATATGGTAATTTGTGTGTTTATATCAACCTCTCCTTCTCCACAAGTGGAAGGCCTGCTTCTGGAAAATAGAGACTTTTTAAAACCTCAGTTTAAGTCCTTACTGTATCCATGACATGTGACTTACTAATCTATAAGGTCAGAAAACTTCAAAGATTCTTCATTTGTTTGTTTACCTTTGGTAACCACCGCTACTACTCCTGATATAGCAGGACCATTTCTTCAAATGTAATCTTACATGGAAATCTGTAAAAGAGGGGAAAATCGATGCTTTCTGGATGGCAAGGGAGTGACTGTTAAATCCTGTCCAAATATCCCCTCCTTGGCTATGCCTGATTGACTCTATAGAATATCTATGGCTCTGTTCAATATTGTCTGAAATCTACAGGATTCACTTTATATGTCACTGTCAAGGAAGGATAGCACTCTCAGTGTCACCACCTGTGTTCTTGATGTAAAGTCCTAAATTCATGCTTGAAATAAATTTTCTGAGACAAATATAATGAAGATGTGTGTGGTCTATCGGTGAGTGTATGTTTCCTCCAATTACATTGTCCTACTTATTGCCAAATGTTTCCTGAAATAAATACCATCCTCTCTGCTGGAAATATCTAGACATTGAAGGAAAGAAACTTAAACAAGTAACAGAAAAGAATTAAGTGTTTTGGGCAGTAAATGACTTAGAAAGTGCTTACAGGATTTTTTCACGGGTCTTTTAACTTTTGTAAGAAGAAAGTGAAAACACAAGAAAGCTGACACTTTACATGCATGAAGGAGGCAAAGGAGGGATTGATAGGTTGCTTTGGGGCACTCTGTCATGTTTTGAAAGGTTTCAGTCATCCCAGGTAGAGACAGGGACAGAACTCAGGCAAGAATAACCCTGGTTATGAGGGAAGAGATTGGTTTTGCTGGACAGTATTCCTCTATGTAGGTGAAAGGTGTCTTTGCCTAAAAGAAGATAATTTGGCTGGATTCTGCCCTGAGGCATTGCCATGATTTATTCACCTCTAGAACTATGGCTTTTAGTAACAACAAAAGAATACTCCTAATATAAAGGGTAATTTAAGAAAAAAGAGGAGAGAAGAGAAAATGGACATAAAAGGGAATATGAGATATTTGCTCTTACTATATATATATATATTTGGTTCCTTAAAAGTAAAGTGTTCTAACAACTTTTCATCATTCATTACCCAAATCCTTGACTCACTTTCCTTTTGCTGCTTTTCCTTCCTTCTGTATTTCTCTTCCTTCTATCTTATTCATCCCCCTTTCCCATCTATCTTTTGATTTCCTGTTTTTTGTTTTCTAGGAATTACTGCTAAAGGCATAAAGATGCTGCAAAACCAGCCCAGCAACATCACTGACTTCTTAGGAGAGCCAGTCAAGAGATTGGCCCTCATTCTAGGTTGTCTGGAGGCAGTTGAACAAGCTGAGAAACCCTAATCCATTCACATTGCTCCAGTCTCAGTAGAGACTTAGTCTATTTGGAGGATTTTATAATTCAGGGACCTACTAGGGCATGTTTGTAAGGCCAAATAATTACTGCCTAGGATTGTTACTCTAAAAGTAAGACAGAATGGTATCTCACATAAATGTGTTTTTGAATCCACCTTTCTGATCTACTCGGAGTCTGTGTGACCAGTTGGACAATTGTCCAGAGCCCCAGGTGGGGACAGATGCACACAAGTATTTCTGCCATTCAATTGTTCAGAGTGTGTATGATACATGGGTTTCCTGTGGGTCAGCTAGTAGGAAGCTGACTGTGGGCTACTGAACTTTCTCCAGATGGTGCTTGCAGAGTGAGGGAAACAGAGAGGCTGTGGTGATGACTGCAGGTGGTGAGCTGTGGGTACCAGAATATTTCCCCTGATTAAAAAGGAAACTATGGCGTTGGGGATCCCAAACTTGTGAATGTCCTGGAAAATCACAAGGATACCCCATAAGAGAAACACTTGTCAGTCAGGGAGAATTTCAGATCAGTCCGTCTGGACCAAGAGAAGGCTACAAGAGCAACATGTAAGTCAGTGATGTCAGAACTTTCCCATCTCGTTACCATCTACCCTGTTCCAACATGGCCCAAGGAATGAAGATCCAGAGAGTGAGAGAGAAGGAACCTTGCAGAAATGGACACACTGATGCTTCCTGGAAGGTCCCCTGGGCCTCAGCAGGGGAGAGGGAAACATTGAATAGGCTGAATATGAGATGGAGTTGACACTTGACTGCCCTGGCCTTGTGAAACCCAGAGTGACAGAATGTATGGAATGGTTGCAAGGTGATGCAGAAAATGAGGATGCAGTGGAGTGTGGGTGAAGACAGCCACTGGAGGAGGATGGAGCCAGCTAACATTTGTATCTGCTATGGTCTCAACCTTTGTGTCCCCCAGAAATTTCATATGATGAAATCCTGATTCCCATGGTTGTGGCATCCATTGGTGGTGCGTTTGCGAGGTGATGGAGTTATAAGGATGGAGCCTCCTCAATGAGATGAGTGCTTTTATGTATAAGAAATACACAGAGCTCCTGAGCCCTTCCTCCTTTTTGAGGATACAATAAGAAGTGTGTGACCAGAAAGGACCCTGCATGAACACGTTGTGGAAATCCATTTTCATTGTTTATAAGTCTGTAATATTTTGTTATAGCAACCCAGAAGGTCTAAGACAGCATCCTAACAATCTTCAGACAGTTCAGTAAACCTCATGCTATTTGTACAAAGTTGTGAAGCACTGATACTGTCTGGTGTAACACTGTGACAGTGGGCTGACAGTTTGCAGCTGGCTTTCATAAAGACTCCTGAGGATTCAGTCTTCTTGGTAGCATGGCCAGAAGCATAAACAATTGTCTAATTCTTTGATTCTCATAACTTGACCCAGAATAATTTTCTGTGATTCTTATGTAATCTCTTAATGGTCTTCTTTGTAATGCCAGCTTCTGCTATTTGTGACTAATTTTAATAGGAGCTTCATTCTCTCAATTGTAAGGGTGGCTTTTCTTTTGATTTTCTATTAAATGAAAATAAGAAATGTTAACAAATTACCCTCTTAGATTTTGGCATCTGTACAGTCTGTGTTTATTTTTTTAAGAGGAGACCTATTTCACAGAGAATGCATGAAAAGCTGTAATTTCAAAAAAGCTTTTTAAGGCATAGATCATTAGGACCATCTCAGAACTGGATGGGATGGATGAAGATTCAGCACTCGTAACTGATTCGGCATGCCAGAATCTTGGTGTACATGTCAAGTTTATGGGAATCCCTGCTCAGGCACTTGAACAGGGTATAAAATGCAAAATGACGTATATCTTCATCGCTGGACACCAGGGATGGGAGTCCTTGCCAATATAGAAGATCCTTGGCCAACTTCAACCTGACTGGAACAACAATCTGAATAACCAAAAGAAAATGACTTATTATGTGTTTTCTTAATATTTGCTTATCTTTGTCCTTTATAATTATCAAATTAAGATTTAGGGAACACATAGGAATATAAAACTCTCTAGGTATGGATTTTGGAGCCAGCCTATGAGAAAACATTCAGGAATCTAAAAAGTAGAAACATAACTCAAGTTGTTTTAACTTTCTCTTTTCTTCCTTCCCACTCTCATCCTTTGATTTGAGGAGAACAGAGAAAGAAGACAAAGGGAACTTCAATAGCAGATGTCCTGGGATACTTTGAGAAAAATGCTGAGCTTGGAAATTCTGTTCTGTTTTTCTCTTGCTGTTGAAAATATTTTAACCACCTGTGCCCAGGAAGAGGCAAGCTTTTGGTGGAATTATGTGCAATGCAGGGAAGGCTACACATGACAAAAATTGCAGTGAAATTCTGATTCCTTTACAGTTGAATCTATCGCTATGAATGACTAGGCTCCTGCTTTATGTAGGAGCAGTCTAGCATATAGAAGTCATGAAACTTTTTCTTACAAAATGAGATATTTCAAAACTCCTTATACATTACAGAGTGATCAACAAAGCAAGAAAGCCCTCCGCAGGATGCTCACCTGGCTGAATCGCCTCTCTAAGATTGTTTGAAGTTTGTGTAATTTTTTAAAATTCTCTCTGGCACTTGATAGGATAGTATCTGAGAGATATTCCCCAAACCGCAGTTCATGGACTAGAGCATAGAGAGGATCTCCCCAGAGGTACTGTAACATGAGTATCCACTTAGTAAGGTCTTCATTCTAAGCAAACAGAAGAAAAAGTCTCATTAAAATAATCATAATTCAGTAGTTTTGGTAACATGTGATTTTTGCTCAGAGCAGCTGACCTAAAAGACTTTTGGTTATTCCTATGTGTATGGACAGATTTTTGAAGGTAGTAAAAGTTGAAAAATTGTAAAAGTAAGCTATTAGTTCACACTTCACTGAATTACTAAAAATCTGGGTTATTTTAAGAATTAATTCTTCTGATGAGTTCTAATTTATAACATGAATTTCTTTTTCCTCTGAAATTCTACTACTCACTCACTGAGTTCTATTATGTTTGTATATTTGCATGAGAGAAATGTAAGTATATTATGACAAGTCAATATGTGCCTGCAGTACCTGACCCAAGAAAGAGGCATTCTTTCTTCCTGTGCCCACATCATTGTCACCCAACAGTGATCTTTCTTATCAATGGATCAGATGAGTCATTCATATTGATTTTTGATTGGTGGTTTGTTTTATGATATTAAAACAAAGAGACAATGAAGAACACAAGACATTCCTAAACAGGCTTTCTTTCCTCAGTTGATCCCAACACCAGCCCCCATGCTGGTATCAGAAGACTCTGTCTTGTTGACATGTGTCCAGGCAGAAAATAGCACAGCGTTGTCTTTAGTAACAGCATCAGTGGGATTCACAATGGAGGGTTTTCCCCCCAGATTCACTACTAGTATTAGAATTCAGCATGAAAATCCTAGGGGCTGAAGATCTCTAGTTAATATGCTTGATTTCTTTACAACCATGAACAGTTTTAGTGGAAAAGAACAGAGAACTGAGTAGGGTGAAATATAGTAATGCACATAAAGTGCTTAGTAAAATGTATGGCCATGTAGTAACTCTCAATAAACTTTAAATTCAAGCTTATTGAAAAATCCCTCCTCCTTCCCTTCTTTGACCTTTTCCTTTACTTGATCATCCTCATTATTAATGAGCTTAAGAGAGGAAAAGAATGCTGATATCATTAAGAAAGTAGTAGAAAGAAAAGATAGTATGTTAAGGGGGGATGCATGTGAAAAATATTTTGAATAATGTTAGGATGAAGGAAAATGTGGGAAATCAGAAAGGAGAGGTTATAGTGATGAAAATTTGAAGCTGCCATAAATGACTGAGGCTTGATATATAAACTGTGTTGTCCTCAGAACAGAGGCAATTATTGAGGCCATGAGAAGCAAAGCAATGTTATATAGGCCATTGTGGCAGAGACTTACAAATTAAAAATAAAAGGTAACAGAGGAGTCATTGAGACTGATGAATGAGGAGGTGGTAGAGAAGTAGAGCAGAGTCAGGAGAGCTTTGAAAGGCAATCACGCTGGCTGGAGTGGTGCAGTGTAGGACTCCCAAATACGAGTCACTAGTAACAGGGAGTACTCAAAACTGGGGTGTGTTTCTTACATATTCATAAATTTTGCAATCTTATATTTTACACATGGAAGTTCCCATTCTTTTCCTGTTTTTGTACAGAATAACAGCTGCAATCCTGTGCTTAATGCATTCCTTGAACTAATCTTGTCTGCATGGACAATTTGTTGATCTGTTATTTCCTTTGCTACTACAGATCTTTAGTCATCACTTGATTTCGCTCATGCATCATCAAGTGCATAATATAATTTCTCCTCAACTGCTTACAGTTCCTCCACTGTTTTTTGCATGTACAGTTACCATTACCTCTAATATTCTGAGGCCTGGTAAGCTAATACTGTCTCATTCGATCTGGTGAAAAACCCAGGTGAAAGACTCACGTTCATCTGTTGGGCTGTTTCTGTTTCTTCAGGAGCATGAAGGGGATTGGTGTGGCAGTCATTGGTGTCATTGATATACTCTGGTATACTCTGGGAATACTTTTCATCCTGAAAGTGATCAGGCAACTAGTTAGGGTTGTTGGGCATTCAATAGATGAACCCATTACTAGAACATTAACATGTTTGATAGACGTGTAATTTTTTAACTGGCGGTGGGGGGCATCACAAAATTTGAAAGTCATTCTTTTCCTACTTCTTCTATATATTGTCTCTATAAAAATGATTTTACATCTAACTTTTCTAAGCTCAAACTTTTCCCTTCTCTATTTTATCACTTTTTAAAATTTTTTTAGTATTTGAACCAAATATAGTACTTTTGTACCAATACTCGGTGCTTCCCAGGTGACAGTATTGGTAAAGAACATTCCTGCCAATGCAGGAGATATAAGAAGCCTCAGGTTTGATCCCTAGGTGAGGAGCATCCCTTGAAAGAGGGTACAGCACCACACTCCTGGACTCTTGCCTGGCGAATCCTATGGACAGAGGAGCCTGTTGAGCTACAGTCAGTAGGGTTGCAAAGAGTTGTGTCCAACCCTTAGATGTGACTTAGAATGCATGCATGCACCTATATTTAACCATTTAATCTCAAGTTTACTGTGGGTTAGAGCCAATATATTCCCTTATAAGGAGTAATACAGTAATGACTCTGACTTATCTTTGAACCCACTCACCAAAAAGCTTAGTGTTCATCCCAGGTGCAGAATACAATACTGTTTATGGTGACAAAATGGTACGTCAGGAAAACACAGCGTAAAGTTATAGGAAATACTAAGCAATGGGCTGAGAAAAATAAGAGTAGAAAAATCTTAACTAACACTTTGATAGAGAAAAACTAATCTTCTGCGGAAGTTATGAACATTTGAAGACTTTACTTGGAAGAGTTTGGAAAAAATGGAAAGTCAAAAATGGAGGATGAAACAAAGACTAGTGAGTACAAGAACTACAGGAATTTAATAGAAACCTGTAGCCCCACCTTTTATTAGCTGTCTGCTCTACTGTGTGCTCCTTGATTGACCTAAAAGAATTAACATACAACTTTCAAATACCTTCACCAGAAAGAGAATAATTGTTTCCAATTGTAAACTCTGCTTCTATTGTAGCTCGAAATCTATTCATTGCAAATCATAAAACAATAACTTGTAGCATTAAAGAAACTACCAGTATTCGTTTTTTGACCAAGATTCAGCTTTGTTTAACATGTTCCATCCACGCAGTTCACTGCAGAACAGTTCTCATTTATTGGCTATTTACTCTGAGCCTGGAGAAGAAAGCCCAGAGAGGCCCTGAAGGACCAGAAAATAAACATGCTTCGTTTTCTGCAATCCCACCTAAAGCTGCTTTCTGTCGGGTAGTATTATGGACTGAATATATGTGTTCTTCAAATTCATGTGTTATAGCCCGAACTGCTAAAGAACTATGTTTGAAAAGCGTTCTGACTTTTTGGCACGCCATGGTCTACAGTCCACCAGAATCCACTGTCCCTGGTATTTCTCAGGCAAAAATACTGGAGTGGCTTGCCGTTCCCTTCTCCAGGGAATCTTCCAGACCCTGGGGTAGAACCCAGGTCTCTCCCATTTGAGGCAGATTCTTTACCGTCTGAGCCAGGGTGCAACACTCATCCAGTAGGTTTAGTGTCTCCATGAAGTGAAACACCAGAGACTTTTCTCTTCTGTCTCTGTGTCTGTGTGTCCTTTCCTCTGTCTCTCTTCCCCACCCCCCACCCTGTGTGAGGACGCATGGAGAAGTCATCCTTGGAAGAAAGAGTTCTCAGCAGAGCCTCACCTTGCTGGTGCCCTGAACTGGGACTTCTAGCCCCCAGAGCTGTGAGGAAATACATTTCTGGTGTTTAATCCACTGAGTCTATTCTTTTATGGCATTCCTAGCTGACAAATACAAAATCATTTATTTTGGAAACTTAAAAAAGAAAATGAATGAAAGAAAATTCACACAGTTGTTGCACTTCTTAGGAAACTTTGAGATTTCACAAAACTGGTCCTTTCTTCGATTTCCACATCTGATGAGCTAACGGCATTTTTAACCTAGAGAGTGTGTTATTTGAAGTTTGGCTGATGCAGCCCTCTCGTTGAAAGGACAGTATGGCCCAGTCACTTACAAAAAGGTCCTTCTGGGAGCCTGGCGGGCTACAGTCCATGAGGTCACAAGAGTCGGACACGACTTAGCAAATAAACCACCAGCACCACAGTACTTACAAATTCATTGAACATTATTGTGGAAAGGTTATGCATGTCGTGGGTCAGGATGGAGGCACGGCTAAACGTTTGTCTAAGGAACTTCAGGGGGATGCCAAACACATCAGGACCGCAGGATGGGCATATGTTGCCTTGGCCCAGGAGCAGATTTGACAGGACCAGCAGCAGGACCAGGCAGGACCCTGCTAAAATAAAAACATGAGCCATTCTGAGATGATCTAGTCACATGAGGTTATTAAATCCATCCTGTGGAGGGAAGCCTTCTCTTTCCCTGTTGCTCTGAGCAGGAGTTGGAGCTGTAGTAGCTGGGGTGGGGAAGAAGGAGCGCCTTCTGTGTGAATTTAGATGGATGATGATATTTGCACAGATAGATAGTTGGAGAAGTGGGATACTCCCTGCATTTTTATATTGCTCCCAGAAGTACTTCTGTGGTCTGCAAATATTTGAAACTTAGTTCTGAGCCAGAGTATTTAGGCCATTCTTTTAAGACAGTTTAATGTTGGGACTCTGAAGACTCTGAGCAGCGAGGCCCTCTAGGAGTTTGTAATTTTTTCACTTTACATTGACTAGTGCTTGAATTTTGGACACAGAAATGACACGAAGTGTACAGTTGATCTGTGTGGTTTACCACATTCTGGGGTAAGAGTAAACACATGACTGACTGATCGCTACTATTGAGTACAGAGAGAATACTAAGAGAAAAAGGACATTGTACCTTGGATCTGGTAACTCAACTTCCTAACCACATGCATGTCTTTGATACTTTTCAATCCTATGTATAGAACAGACTTGTGGACTCTGGGAGAAGGCGAGGGTGGGATGTTCCAAGAGAACAGCATTGAAACACGTATATTATCTAGGGTGAAACAGTTCACCAGCCCAGGTTGGGTGCATGAGACAAGTGCTCGGGCCTGATGCACTGGGAAGACCCAGAGGGATTGGGTGGAGAGGGAGGTGGGAGGGGGGA